CGTTAAGTCACGGATTATCGTTCATTGAAGGACGCTATTAATGCAGCAATAACGAAAGAAAAGGTCAGGAACCCCAATGCAAACCGATCGACTAGAAATAACCAACGGGATATAAAGTCGTCATGCGAAATTTTCGAAAAAATTACTTGCTACAAATGTGAAAACCAGGCCACATCGGGCGAGAATGCCGTAGTAGTGAATACGCGCTTCCTAAACCGGAGAAGTCAGATCGCGTAACTACAATAGAAAAATTTTGCAATTACTGCAAAAACGCGGACACAGCCGTGAAGAATGCTGGACATTAAATGGACGGTTAAAAACGACATCAAGTCACGATAGAATAAACGGTGATAAAAATCGCGTAACGTTAATGTAACCAAAATCGTAAGAAGCCGAAACGAGAAACCGTGATACGATTCTGAGCAAATCAGTAACGATGACGAGCAAAGTAGCGACGAGACGAAAGACAAGAGAAAAGAATAAGACGACACGCGCTCGGGAATATCAGATGTCACACGTGCGCCGAACGCCGAGAGAGAAAGAGAGTTTAAATATAATTAATCTGCCCATGCGAGAGGCAAAACACGGAAAGTAAATATGCTTTACGATTCGGGAGCTACGATTTAATTGATAAAAGTGAAATTCTTAAAAGGCGAGACCAAAATTTACAACAATAAAATAACTCTCGTGGGAATAACCGGTCACAAGACAAAGACGATCGAAAAATGTACGCGATCATTAAGCTAAACGGGAATCAAACAAAACACGCGATTTACTTGTAAAAGATGATTTTCCGATGGAATTTTGACGGAATTATAGGAATAGATTTCCTGAAGAAACAAAATGCTCTTTGCAACCATAGGAAACAGGAGCTGCAACTAGGAACACGGTAATAAACTGCGCCCGTATGAGAAGATCCGATTACGGCCGCGCAGTGAAACGATTAACCGAAATTTAAATAGTCACGAAAAAAACGAATCTGAGGACGAACGCGATAGCAACGAGGGAGACTCGAAAAAAGAGAGTCCCCGGTACGCGTAAGCCAGTATCGCGTATCACATATCCGACCCGCCGCAACTAAAAATAGCGCAGAAATCATAAAAGCCGAACAAACCGCGCCAGGAATTTTTATCTGATGATACCTAGCGAACCAAAATTTTTAAAACAAAAATTGAAGTCGGTGAAAAATGCTTATATATGACGATACGCTACGACGCGGACGATCAAAGAAACTTGACGCCTTATGGACATGACCGTACACGATAATCGAAAGACTCCGACGTCAATTATACAATAAAAAGGGAAGACGGATGATACAATACATGTAAATAAAATAAAACAATTTATAGACAACTAAGAAATACATACCCCGAGACAGCTAGATCACGACACACAAAACAGTTTATATATCCAATGGTATCTAGCGGAATAATAATAATAATAATAATAACTTTAATCATAATCCTTATTATTGCCATTGTAATTTGGAAAATAAAATAAAAAACACAAAAGAAGGTACCTAGACCATACTGAAAGAAGCAATAGCACACGTTTTTAGAAAATAGAAAACGGTTGTAATTATATTGAAAACGGGCATAAAACAGTTATAAATTAAATTGTAAGCGAAAACTACGTACGTACCTTCGTTTTTTTCTTCTTTAACGGGGGAGGGATGTTATATCCCTCAAAGATATAACTATTAAGAAATAGCTACTCGTGTTACTCCGCTTGACGACGGACCCTGACCGCGTAAAAACGCATACGCTGCGATCTGCGCGAACCGAAATTGCTCAACGTGCAAACAAAGCAGAAGGACTTCGCTCAGTCGCAGTCGCAATAAGTCGCTCTCAAGACGCTCTCGCGTCGTTAGTTAAACGACCTCGCTAGCCGCGTGCGATATATAACATCCCTTCGCAATCGCGCGCGATACGCGAAGTTTAGTTAAACAGTGTCGTTAAACCAATACACGCACAGTGTAACAGTGGTGAAACAAATAAAAGACAAGTGGTTTACTTGAATAAAAGTTTTAATATAAAAAGTGGAGTGCGTTTTATTTCAACAAACCGAAATAAGTCCCGACGCCCCGGATCCTCATCCTAATTTGGCGCGACCCCTTGTGTCTCACCCGAGGCACATAACAGCCTACAAAAGCAAATACCGATAAATATTTAATGTTTGTCTTTATATATAATACATATTTATATTTTAATACAATAATTATTAGTCTTCCGCACACAACTTTTCTGGTAATGTTCCAATAGATAGTTTAATGATTTTTTGGCTAATAATTGCTGATCTTTTGCGTTATATAACTCTGCGTTAATAACTCTGTTTTAGCAATATGGTACAAATTGATGTACAATGTTGATAGCAATTTGTGTTAAATTAACTTTTTTTTATTTCCATTTTAAGTTCTTTTGTTACAAATATAAATTTATTTTTTCCAAATGATTAATTTTATTTTTTTTTTTGTTTTTTTATAATATTTTATTTTATTTATTTAATTATCTCAAATATACAAGGTGTGCGCAACGGAAGCAGGAAAAAGGTCGGAAGCGAAAAGACAAGAAGCACTGCACTCGACACACCGCGTATCGTTAACAAATATATTTAAACTATTAACACAAAAATACAATTATTTACAACCGCACAGAATGTACCAAAGATAGCCGAGTCGAACGTATTAGAAAGTACAATAACCGAGAAAAGCGTGTTGAAAAAAAGTACTGAGTGTCCGCACACGTAAAGTAAACGTGAAAAAGACAAGCGATCTTTTTTCGTTAAAGTAGAAGCACACTTTGACGCGAACAAGCATCGGAAAATAGCGGCCGCGGTTACGATAAAGGAGGTTTATATAGGCCTTGTTTCAGGAATAAGCCTGATCCTAAAGTATAGGTCGTTCAATTCTCCGTTTATATTATCGTTCGACATCTCAGTAATTATTCGCGCCAACGCGGGACAACACGTCAAAAACACATGTGATCCACGTGTTACTCGCCTGTCTTTTCCTTTGCTCGACGCGAATCGCCTGCGCAAATCCCCAAAATTCTCGCTTCGCGCCTTGGCTACGTGTCTCGGATCATTATTGAGCGTCCAGCCACGAGACGAGATAGATCAATACACCTTTTGTTGAAATATCGTCCGCCTCGTTTCTAACACTCTTGTTATAATTTGTGATTTGAATAAAAGTATATTAAAACGAATCCGCGAGTGACCATTAACAAAACTACCGCCTTGGCGTGCGAACCTTCTATACAAGGTTTTACCAACGAGAAACAAAACATTTTGGTCCTTCGAGCCGGATCGTCGCCAAGGACATTATTGGCATTCCGAATCACGATCGTCGATATGAACACCTCGACATCTTTCGAAGAGCTTTTGGCTCTGCAAACACAGAAGATGAGTTTCGTATCACGGGCGCTCATCAATTACAAGAAGCTGGGGCAAGCCAAATGACACCTGCGGTGACACGTCAACGTCTCGTCACCTTGAAGGAAGCCTTTGCCACTTGCCAGGAGCTCGACAGTCGAATCGGGCTTCATGCGGACGATGACGACAAAGCATCGCATACCTACTTCACAAAGAATTCGTTTCTGGAATGTGAGGACTGCTACAACGAGGCTGCCGACTACATGGCTGAGGTATTAGAGAGCTACGAATCCCGCATCCCTCCCGCTACATCATCACAAAACGTAAGTGGCTTGCATGATGTTTTCCGACCCGCGTCGCATCTTCCGAGGATCAACCTACCGACCTTCGACGGGAGCATCGACAAGTGGGAAAGCTTTCGCGATAAATTCCAATCGATGATTCATAATGATCATAGTTTGTCAAATGTCGATCGCTTACATTATTTATGCTCATGTGTAAAAGGGGATGCAAGTAACGCGCTTGACCACCTCGCGGTAACCAATAATAATTTCGACGTCGCGTGGAGAATTCTAGTCTCTCGGTACGACAACAAACGTCGTCTTGTTACAACGCATTTACAATCGCTGTTAAATTTGCCGTTACTGACCACAGAAACCGCTCATGACCTTCGTCAGCTTCGCGACCAAACAAACAAAGCAATCCAAGCGCTTAGAAATCTCAACCGTCCTGTCGAACATTGGGATGATTTGCTTGTTTTGCTCGTCGCACAAAACTCGATAAATACTCGCGTAAAGCTTGGGAACTCAAGCTCGGCGATACGGTGGAATATCCGCGTTATAATGAGCTCGATCAATTTCTTGAGTCTCGAATTCGCGCTCTCGAGGCGATCGTACCACTTTCTAAAGAAAAGCCATCCTCTACCTCTAAAGAAAAATTCTTGTGTCGCATACCGCGTCCACCGTTTCGTTCGCATGTCCGTTGTGCAAGGCCAATCACTTATTATACCAATGTTCGACATTTTTAAAGCAAACACCCTCTCAACGTTTCGATTTTATTAAGCAGCGAAAACGATGTTTAAACTGTTTTAGTAGTAAGCATTCCGTCAAAGATTGTTCGAATTCGCGCGTATGCCGCCAGTGTAATAAACGTCATCACACGTTATTACATTTCGATAACTCGACTCCGCCGGTGCAAACGGAGTCACCGCCAGCAACAAGCGCAAATGTAAACGAAGTCATGTCGCATTTACTATCGAAAACCGTCGCGCCTAATTCTAATATTTTGCTTGCGACTGCCCGGGTGAGAGTCTATTCGCCTGTTGGACGTTTTATAACTGCACGCGCACTTCTGGATCAAGGTTCCGTTTCTACGTTTATTACCGAATCGCTCGCGCAACGTTTACGACTCTCTAAAATAAATCGTTCAATTTCGTCACCGGCATCAGCGAGATGCAATCCGTTGTCCGTCACGCCGCTCATCTTACAATTACGCCGGCGAATCGCGACGAACCCGCTTATTCAACGACCGCACTCATTCTTCGATCGTTGACAAAATATGTACCGAATCGAATAAGCACGACGGGTACGTGGAACCATGTCGACGGACTCCAATTAGCGGATAGTGACCCCATGAGTACCGACCCGATTGATATGATAATCGGAGCGGATTTATACGGCATGCTCGTACTCGATGGTGTTCGACAAGGTTCCGAAACGGAGCCCACCGCGCAAAATACTACTCTCGGTTGGATTTTGTCCGGGCCAATCGCTTCGTCCCCGACCAATCTTTCGATTTTTGAGACCGCGCATCACGGAGTCGTCCTTGAAGCGTTAGATTTCGACCTTCGTCGTTTCTGGGAGACTGAAGAGGTCCCTCAGACCCAACACCATAGCCCTGACGAGCGCAAGTGTGAAGAGCACTTTCTCGCTACCCATTCCCGCACTCCTCAAGGACGCTATATTGTTAGATTACCGTTTAAAACCGGACCACCACTCTCGTTAGGAGAATCTCGCTTCATTGCCGAATCGAGCCTCTATCGCTTAGAGCGACGTTTCAAACGCAATCCATCTATCGCTTCAGAATACCACGACTTTCTCACGGAATACGAAAACCTTGGTCATATGATCAAAATTCCACCGACAGAAATTGTACAACCGGATCAAAGTTATTACATACCGCATCATGCTGTCTTACGTGACAGTAGTGCAACTACTCGACTGCGGGTTGTTTTTAATGCATCCTGCCGTACCACTAACGGAACCTCGTTAAACGATAATATGTTTATCGGACCTAAACTTCAAAAGGATTTGGCCGCTGTCATAATGCAGTGGCGCCAATATCGTTACGTATTTACCGCCGATATCGCCAAAATGTATCGTCAAATTTTAGTTGACTTCCGCGATACTGATTACCAGCGCATTCTATGGCGCTCTTCTCCCAGCGAACCTGTTCGCGACTACCGTCTTCTTACCGTGACGTACGGCACTGCCGCCGCTCCGTATCTCGCTCTTCGAGTGCTAGACCAACTCGCTGAAGATGACGGTGCTCAATTTCCGTTGGCCGTCCCTGTTCTACGTCATCAAACATACGTTGATGATTGCGCGTTCGGAGCCGACGATCATATCCTTGCACGGCAAACACGAGACCAATTAATCGCGCTTCTCGCTAAAGGAGGCTTTCGCCTACGAAAGTGGGCAAGTAATTCTCCAGATCTTTTGTCAGACCTCGATCCTGCCGATCATGGACTAGCCACTCACAAAGTCCTCCAAGACGATGAACACCTTAAAGTGTTAGGAGTTAGTTGGAATCCAAAGCTCGATGCGTTTCAACTTCGCGTATCTCTCCCGTCTTCGCCGGGAAAAACGAAAAGAGCTATTCTCTCGACAATCGCTGGGTTTTTCGATCCGATGGGATGGGCCGCTCCCGTCATCATCGGTGCAAAGATCTTTATGCAACGATTGTGGTCGATCCAATGTCAGTGGGACGACGACATTCCGGGTGAACATTTCGACCACTGGGCAACTTATCATCACCCAACTACCGCATCTCGAGACGCTCAGTATTCCGCGTTGGACGACGCACGGATCTCATACTCTGCACAGCGCACTCCATGGCTTTTCCGATGCCTCAACTATGGCTTTCGCAGCCGTTGTTTACCTTCGCGTTGTTAATGTCGACGGCTCAATTAACATCTCTCTTCTCATCGCAAAATCGAAAGTGGCTCCCCTCAAGACGATAAGCGTTCCCCGATTGGAATTGTCGGCGGCGCTCCTTCTCGCTCGGTTAGTTAATTATGTGCGGTCCGCTCTTCAACTTCCGAGTATCGAATGTCACTGTTGGACCGACTCAACCATCACACTCGCTTGGCTAAGTCAGTCTCCATCTCGATGGAAAACTTTCGTTGCCAATCGCGTTTCGATCATTCAGTCCTTGCTGCCTGAAGTTTCTTGGCGTCATGTTCCAACGCAGGACAATCCTGCCGATTGTGCTTCTCGCGGTCTAGCTCCCCATGCTCTCGCAAATTATAATTTATGGTGGTCAGGTCCTTCATGGCTTTGCCAATCTCCAGAATCCTGGCCGACTTGCGAGCTCTCGATACCAGCCGAGACCGCCCTTGAACAGCGTTCTCAACCACCTATTCATTCTTTACATGTAACCCCTAGTTGGGATCTCGCATCACGTTATTCTTCGTGGCCTCGATTGCTCCGAATTACCGCTTATCTTTACCGTTTTCTTTATCGACTCCGATCCTCTAAAAGCGCATCGTCTTCACAAGCGATCCTCCATCCCGAAGAGATCCAGAAAGCCAAACATTACTGGCTCCGAGTTATGCAATCCGAGATGTTTTCCGTTGAAATCTCGACTTTACAACGGCAACTTCCGTTACAAAAAACTAGTTCCTTATCCACACTCAATCCTTATTTGGACGCTGACGGACTTCTTCGCATCAGAGGACGGCTCCGTCATGCTTGCCTTTCAGAAACGACGAAGAATCCGCTCGTATTACGAGCACATCCATTGCTAGTTCTTATTATTCAGCATCATCATCTCAGAACGTTACATGCTGGTCCCCAATTAACACTCGCTTCATTACGTAATGAATTTTGGATCCTCCGATCTCGCGCTACCGTTCGTGCTGTTCTGTATCAGTGCGTACAATGCACTCGTGAGCGCGCTAAAAAACCTGTCGAACTCATGGGCGATCTACCGGAGGCGAGAGTTAACCGTGCCGCTCGCGCATTTATACATACTGGCGTTGATTACGCTGGACCAATCACTGTCCGAACCGCGCCCGGCCGAGGACACAAATCGCAAAAGGCTTACATTGCGCTGTTCATATGTTTAACGACCAAGGCTATGCATTTAGAACTTGTTTCCGATTACAGCTCGCCGACCTTTATTGCAGCGTACCAGCGATTTGTCTCCCGCCGAGGACTACCGCAGTCCATGTACTCAGACAACGGTACAACCTTTCATGGCGCTAATCGAGAATTATCCGAAGCTCACGCGAAAGCAATTCGCGATCCAAGCTTTCGTAATCGTCTCGCTAGCGATGGAACTGCGTGGCAGTTCCTACCCCCGGCCGCACCACATTTCGGCGGACTGTGGGAAGCCGGTGTCAAGAGCGTCAAATACCACATAAAGCGTTGCATCGGCCTCCATACATTAACTTTTGAAGAAATGACCACGTTTCTTTGTCGCATTGAAGCTTGCTTAAACTCTCGTCCGATCGCTCCCGTCTCCGATAATCCTGACGATTATCACGCGTTAACGCCTGGTCATTTCTTGATCGGTACCTCTCTTCTCGCTCCCGCCGAACCAAGCGTGCTTGAATTTAACGAGAATCGATTGTCGCGTTGGCAAATGATTCAACGTCTGACGGAAGAGTTTTGGCGGTCCTGGTCAAGCGATTACTTGCATTCTCTTCAACAACGCCCAAAATGGCGCGTTATCCAGCGACTTGCCAAAGTTGGCCAAATAGTCCTAGTGCGTAATCCCTTGGCTCCGCCCAGCCATTGGGACCTTGGACGAATTGTCGCCTGTCATCCAGGAGAAGATGGCCTGACGCGCGTTGTCACGGTCAAAACCTCCCGTTCTGAATATAAACGACCGATCGTGAAACTATGCTTCTTGCCTGTTGCGATTAATACCGAAGAAGTAAAAGATTCCGTTATGGCGGGCGGAATCTCGTCTTAATATGCGCTAACACCCCGTTCTTTGTTATTGAAGTATCTACGAGATACTGATATTCTTTGTACAGCGTTTATTCCATTATGTTTTTATTATTGTTAAACCATTTGTACTTTTTCGAATGCCTACATTCGAGGCGGGCGGTATGTTCAGGAATAAGCCTAATCCTAAAGTATAGGTCGTTCAATTCTCCGTTTATATTATCGTTCGACATCTCAGTAATTATTCGCGCCAACGCGGGACAACACGTCAAAACACATGTGATCCACGTGTTACTCGCCTGTCTTTTCCTTTGCTCGACGCGAATCGCCTGCGCAAATCCCCAAAATTCTCGCTTCGCGCCTTGGCTACGTGTCTCGGATCATTATTGAGCGTCCAGCCACGAGACGAGATAGATCAATACACCTTTTGTTGAAATATCGTCCGCCTCGTTTCTAACACTCTTGTTATAATTTGTGATTTGAATAAAAGTATATTAAAACGAATCCGCGAGTGACCATTAACAAAAACTACCGCCTTGGCGTGCGAACCTTCTATACAAGGTTTTACCAACGAGAAAAACAAAACCTGTATTTCAGAATATTCGCGAACATTTTTTTTATTCTATCGTTCGGTAGACGAAAGAGCGTTTTTGTAATTTTTATTTCAGCAATCGTAGTTTTGTTATTATTGGGAACTAAATTGTATCTCCTCTCGCGCGACCCGCGGTGTTTACAATTTAATGTGTTTTAATGTAAGCGCTTATTTTTCGTAGGCGCGAGGTATACTTATAACTTTGCGGCCGAACGCTATTTATAATATGAAACGTTAGCATGTTAAAATAGAAATTGATAGACTGTATTATAATATAAATTATACGAATGCTGCATGTGAAATGAGAGTACGGCATGAATTTGCATGCAATGTTTCAACATTGTTTTTAATTGTTTTAATTCTTTCAGCTTTTTTTAGACGTTCGATTTTCGAACATTCCGCCCGCCTTGCAGTATACCTGCAATCGACTTGTAGTGCGAGAGTGGGGGCGCGCGCTTATTCACGCGCTCACGAGTGACAGACACGTGTAGCTCACGTGCTCTGACTGATGTCGCAAAAGAAGCTGAATCGATCAACTGTTTATTTCGAACGTGACGGTATAGACGCATATTGGTTAACGCGTCGCGAAGACCGTGACAATTTTGGTATTCGGATCTCTCGTGAATTATAAATGATACAAATAGTGTAATAATGAGGATAGTGCAGTGATAAAGGAGATAACAGTAGGTCGGGTGTCATGTAAGTGGAGTGACGATGAAGAGGAATGAATAGAGCAGTTGACAAAGAAGAGATGATTTTTGTGCTGCAATGAGAAAAGAGTAAGACTTATGACGCTGAATTATTGTGCAGTTTCGTTGCCGTCGTCCAGAAAAATCAGTTTGCTGACGGGGCGCGTTAAATTCGTACTCGCGGTACGGATTTCGACTACGCGCACGTGGCCGTCGGATCCGGGGTGCAATCGAGTGATTTGCGCAAGCGGCCACCGCGTTGGTGAAGTGTTTTCGCTGCGGAGCACAGCCGACCGACGCGAGCCTCCTAATTGACTCGGGACTATTTTGACCGATGGGCCAGCGTGTGTAAGTATCGCTGGCCTACCGGGACCAGAAATGGTCCCTCATCTGTTTGCAGAAGCTGCCAGCGTGAAAGCCGGGCCGACGGCTCTCGTTCGAGCGACGGTTCAGGTACGGCGGAGAGAGCGGAACCGATCAGGAAGTGACCTGGGGTAAGAGCTGCTACGTCCTCTGGGTCGTCGGACAAGGGCTGAGAGATCGAGAATTGAGGCAAGCTTCTATCTGAGAGAGCAGCGTCGCCAGCTCCTCACAGATGAGGGTTGCATCACCTATGATTCGTCGCAGATGAGCTTCATAGATTTTGACGGCGGCTTCCCACAAGCCGCCGAAGTTCGGTGCCGTCGGTGGATTGAAGTGCCACCGGATTTTCTCTCTTGTCCGGCGAATGCGGCGATGCGATGTCCGTCGTACTGGCGGCGGAGAAGAGAGCGCCAAGCTGCTTGTCAGCACCCACGAAATTGGTACCGCGCAGTCACTATACAAGGAGGCGCAGACACCTCGCCTGGAGATGAGTCGGCGCAAGGCGGCTATGAAGGCGTCGGCGGAGTAGTCCGAGGCTGCGTCGAGGTGAACGGCTTTGGAAGCTAACAGACAAAGACTACAATGACCCTTTAGTTGCTTTGTGTCCGCGGCCCTTCGACGTTCGCAGCCAAACAGGTCCGGCGTAGTCGACGCCGGTGTGCAAAAACGGCCTGCTTGGCGTGACCCTTGGCACCAGGAGATCGCCCATGAGAAGCTGTGGGATGGCGGCTCGCCATTTTGTGCACTACTGCATCGTTTGATGTGTCTTTTCACCAGCGAGCGACCTCGAGGGACCCAATACTCCTGGCGCAGGGAGCACAAGGTCAGCTGAGTCCCGCTGTGTAACGTCCGCTGGTGGTGGTCGTCGATGACGAGGTGAGTGTATGTCGACTCGCTGGCAGTATTGGCGGATGAGTGGCATTGTACTGCAGGTGAGCGTTTCTGAGGCGCCCGCCGACGCGTAGAAGTCCCTCGCAGTCTAGGAAGGATTTAGTTTGTGCAGGGAGCTTCGCGACGGCAGAGGCGTTCCCATTGCGCAGCCTTCTAATCTCGTCTTTAAATGTTCTACCCTGGATCAACCTCACCCAGGAGATGCGGGCTTCCGTCAGTTCGTCGACGCTGATCACGCTAGACTGACTTTGCGCATGGCGGAGCTGGCGATGGATCAGCACCAGCGACGGCACTATGCAGTGATCCGCAGCAGTCGTTTCAGCGAAGAGTAGCAACAGCAATTCCGATTCGGGCTTCAGCTCGGCAACGGCGGCGACTGAGCACGGACTCGTCTCTCTGGAGGTCCTCTGCTGACATCTCCTTGCTGTTGGTCGTTCAAGGACTGCTCTCCGTTGCTAGCCATA